TTTGTAAAACACTTACTCATGTGGATTTATTGCTATAACACATAGTATTATTAAAATTGTGCTTCGCAACAATGTTGCAATCCTGTTAAGCGAATAGTTGTGTTACATACGCAGTATTACCTACATAGAATCTTAGAATAATAACGCATAGAAACCTAGCCCGCACACGCTAAGTGAGGCAAATTGTAGGACATGGGCTTACACGAGCGAGCGGGCTGTCAGTGCTCAAGGTCAAGTTGCACCGCGAGCAGCTCAAAAATTTTTGCTAAAAATGACGAAATGTGCGGTAATTGGGTTTAAAAATAGATCAGACAAATATAAAATAGACACTAACATCACATTCCACAAGGAAGTAACGCGTTTCAACTTGTATTTTTATGTAAATATTCACTAAAACAGAAAATTAATTTCGTTGCAACAAGATACTAAAATGTTCCAAAGTAACGGGTTTTTTCTCCCCATTTTGCTATTCTGTTTCAAAATAATTATATTACGTAATTTTTTGAGAATAGGCAATATCGCGACGGTTGCAAAATTTCTACAAATGTACACCGCCGCAACAACATTGTAGGGAATATACGTTAGCTACTTTTACGAAATATATTTAGTGTTTGCCTTCATTAAAAAAATCATTATTCTTGTTCATCATACACTTATTTAAAAAAAATGTCTTGCCCAGACTCAAAAGTTCTTAACTAAAATTATTTCAGGAAACTAACACTAACTAAAAAGTCATCGTCAGTTCTCCAAAATCGTGTACAAATAACTTTCAGGTTCAGGTTCTTAATTGTTATCGTGTACTATTCATATAAACATACCCACAGATAATATCAGGCTATTTATATATTCAAATTCGATAGTCGCACTTAAACTCGCTTGTAGGTTTTTGTTCATATAAGAGTTAAATAAGAATTGGGTAGTATTTAATAAGGTGCCTACAGATTTGCTCGACATTGTCGATCGACAGTAACGATTGAGAATTATAGACGTTTTCGAGGAGTTTTAGAGTGCTTATTACGAATGTAGCATCAATTTCTAAATCCAAGATGGTTGACAACAATTTTCAAAAATGTATTTTTGGTAAACCATAAGGAAATGGCATGTATATCTGAATACAAGATGGGGAACAAGACTTCTAATTCTTCTTCTTTTAATTCTTGGCCATCTTGGATTTAGAAATATGTGCTATATTCGGAATGAGCAGCCCCTAATACCTTGAAAACGACACCCAACTTGCCATTATTTGAAAAATCGTGCCCGCCATCTTGGATTTAGAAATTAGTGCCATATTCTTAATGAGCACCCCCAAATACATCGAAAACGACACCCAAACTGCTATTATTTGAAAAGTCATGTCCGCCATCTTGGATTTAGAAATAAGTGCTATATTCCTAATGAGCACCCCCAAATACCTCGAAAACGATCCCCAACTTGCCATTATACGAAAAATCGTGCCCGCCATCTTAGATTTAGAAATGAGTGCCATATTCGTAATGAGCACCCCTAAATACCTCGAAAATGATACCCATATTGCATTTATTTCAAAAGTCGTGTCCGCCATCTTGGACTTAGAAATAAATGCCATATTCGTGATGAGCACCTCGAATACCTCGAAAACGATTCCCATATTGCATTTATTCGAAAAGACGTGTCCGCCATCTTGGATTTAGAAATGAGAAAAGTCGTGTCCGCCTTCGTGTATTCAGATATAAATGCCATTTCCATAAGGATTACCAAAATAAATTTTTGAAAATTCCTGTCACTTGACGTTGTCGATCAACAGTAACGATCGACAAAATCGAGCATATCTGTAGGTACCTGATCGACAGTAACGATCGACAAAATGGAGCAAATCTGTAGGCACCTCTAACTTAACGATGAGTTAAGCAAGATACAATTTCCCCACTTTTGAGGGAAATGTTATTCCATGGCATCATTATTTGTATATTTGTGTGCGTGCCGACGAGCGTAAATACAAGTTGCTTACGCTTACATGAATTTGATTTTTGCCTCACTTGTGACAGTTCGTTTTTTATGAAACTATCATTCTATGCGTTATTATTCTAAGCATAGAATTATTAAAATTGTTTGATTTAAACTTTCACGATTTTCACACATTATTTGATTTTTATTTCAGGACTTAATCACGGAGAAAAAAAGTATAAACATATGTTTTATACGTGATTAAGTTCCGAATTAAAAATCAAATATTATTAAATTTGTGCTCCGCGACAATGTTTCAAATCCGTTAAGATAATAGTTACGACTATAAAATAACATGCTGTTACTATATGCAGCCACATTTTCGTCAGCAATACTATAGAAAAACTGTGAAACAGATCTTATTTATCATAGCAAAAATTATAACACAACCAAAACATACAAAATGAAAATATTTTTTAGGGTCTAAATCGCGTTTCGGATCGAAATAGCGTATAACATGCGGGACCATGGGACCTATAAAGAGCCCAAAACGTTGGTTTGTTTTATAAAAAAATACTTATTTACATAGATCCAAAAAAAATGGTCTTATTTCCTATGTGTAACAATGGTGAAAACCTAAGAACTCCATATAGTAAAAACACTCACAAAAATAAATACTATATACGCTCTGTGGTCGAACTACTTTGCTCTATTCCCTACCCTACGAATATTTAAGCAATGTGAAGACCCAGATCTGTTGAGGTAAGGCAATATCAATAAATTCAAGGAAACCTGACAATCTAGAACTAGACTGTTGTCCGAAGACATATTAAGGTATTAAAATATTCAATAAAAGTGCAAATAATTTGAAAATATTGCCGATACAACTATTATGTGGTAAACTAAAGAAATGGCTTTTGGGAAATTGTTTATATTTGTAAGTCAATGAGTTTTAAACAATTTTTCAACTATATTTAACCATTTTATAATATTGTAGCCGTGGTAGCCTAATGGTTTGGATATACCCCCTCTCAAGCAGGGGTCGTAGGTTCCGGGCTAGCACCTCTGTCTTTCTTGGAATTTATGTGCGAAATTATTAACCATGAGCTTTTCGGTGAAGGAAGACATCGTGAAGATACCTACACGTCGAAGAAGATTCACAACCCCCAACCCGCATTCCGCCAGCGCAGTGTGGCGGACTATGGCCTAAATCCTCGCTTGACAGGAGACCCCTGCCCGACAGTGGAACGTATTTTTTTATAATATCAAGTGACGGGACGAACAAGTCGTTAACAAGCTTTAAATCGCAAAGATCTGAGAGGCACTGCCACTGCGCCCGGCACCCTTAGACACAAGTTGACAAGTCTCATGTCCTCTTCCTTTTTTGAAATCGGTTAATAATGTCTCCTTTAAGCAAAATATCCTATCTACAATATTTAAAAAATGTTCTCTTCGTATCCCAAATACCGTGTGACGCCCTGAGTACAAAAATCATAAAGGTCATTGTGGTCTATTTTTGGAATGTTCAGGTCTCCTTTGTGCGAATATATGGCAGATCGTCACAATAGCCTATTTTGTATAGCGGAGGATCATGTTCATGGTCATAGTCATTTATTCATTCAACACAACAAGTCTTCACAATACAAGTACCAATGCAAGTGCATGATAAATAACGAGAGTTTTGAGAGAGTTTGTGCTAGACTCCTTCGATCACAATCAATGTTTTGTGAACAAACAATGAGCACTCAAATGAACAATATACGATTTCCAAGAGTTAACAGTACTTATCATTTTGTTCCATTCCAGTCCCTTTGTAGTCTCACAATTAGTGAACATTTCTATTTACAAGTAATTCTTCTAGATTTATTTATCATTAATTAATTTACATAACTACTAAGGATAATTAAAGGTAGTCAACATCCCATACGTTGCTCTGTTCCCAAAGTAACTAAAGCCGTTGTGTTATGGAAATCGGAAACAACGATGATACCAGAAACACACACACAAACAGAAACGTCGTATTCCAGAACTCTACTCAATGCTCAAGTCAGGATTTGAGCAGACTTGAGCATGATTTCAAGCCTTATGATGCAATACGACCCTAATGGCAAGGACTTGAGTATGATTTCTAGTGCTTTGAATCATATGAGTATTAGAGTGATTTGATGAGTTTTAGAATACGACCCTCAGACTCGAGACAATATAGAAAAGTTAGTTTCTACATTAACTCTGTCGGGAGTCGAACTCAGGACCTCAGAGATGGCGACACCAAGAAACCCGGTGAACAAATCACTCGATCACGGAGGTCGTTAAGATTTAGGAAATGAAAAAAATTTGTTTTTATCTAAATCGCGTATATTTGTGTTTTCAAACAAGCCTACGTTTTGGGTCCTTTACAGGTTCCATGATCACGACTAACTTGACTGGACTGACCATGGGACCTGTAAAGTGCAAGGAACGTTGGTTTGTTTGAAAAGCAAATATACGCGAAAGAAATATCTAACAGAAACAATCGCGAAAACCTTAGAACTCGATACTTCTAGATTTTCTATAGATTTAAAAAATTATTCTTTACTGGTTTAAATATTAAAAAACAAAAACACGTTCGTTACTATCTTAATAAAGATAACACTCAAATTAGTTACTTGAAACACGTTATTTAGCCAAGTATGTATGACAAAACAATATTTGTTACTTATGAGCAAATTTCTATGATTAGTTTAATAACATAAAAGTATTTCGGTCGTTGAGATATAGTCGTAAATCGCGTATATTCAAACCAACCAATGTTTCGGGCCCTTTACATGGGCGAAAACCTAAAAACCATATAAGTATTTTGGTAAATAACACACAAAAAACTTGCCTACAAGATAAGCCGTACTAACAGTCTTATTTTGAAAGTGTTATTTTGAACGCTATGTAAATACGGTAAATTTTCAATTAAGATTTTTATCACATTGCATAATAATAAGACGTGATCCATTTTACAAAGGGATAAGCAATTTCCTTTAGTACCGATGGCATAACAGGTCCTCTATGATATTTTACAAAGGTATATTTAAATGAAAAAGACGTACCTTTGTGTATTTGATATCAACTTTCACCATATTGTATGTGGTTTTTGACTGTTGATAGAAACGTGTGTCACCCACCACGGTCACCCGCAAAGTGATTCAATTTCATTCTATCGTTCTTTTGTACTCCATCATTTACAGCCATCCAATGCCCCTATACGTTGATTATCAATAACTTACATTGAATGTTATATTTCTACACATAAAACTCAAAATCCATTTGAGCGTGTCCCGCTAAACAAACAACTCGCTTGTGCGTATTATTATCGCGCGTACAATTGAATAAAGTTAAGTTTAAATGTATAAATTGCGCTCGAAAATTTGGCCTTAAAAGCATTAGTGGCAAGGCTGATATTTCTGTGCATGATTTCGCCCGGCATTTATACCGGCAGCGTTAAGATCATGCATCGTACAAATTGTATTAAACATACAATAATGGTTGGTTGTAGTTTAAGAAAGTAACGAAACAATAAATAACGATCTGTGTACTTCTTAAAAAAACTGATATTTGTGACGCTAAGATTATATGGGTATAAAATACCAAAGAGAGCCGTAAGTAAATTTTACAAAACATGCGCTACTTACTGTAGTTGGGTCTACCTACTCAATGTTTTGTTATTATTATTTATACAAAGAACGAACAAACATAAAGAAAAATTCCTTCCACTCGTTTTCCACCGGCCTCGAACTACCGACTGTTGCTTCGACGTGGCTACAGCTCTGCCAATTGAGTGCAGACTGAAACGAGTTTTTTTATGATACCATGTGACGCGACGAACATGTCCTGGACCTGATGGTAAGCGACACGCCTGTCCATAGCAATTGCAGTGCCACTCAAAGCTTTAAATCATAAATATCTGTGGTGCACTGCCACTGCGCCCGTCACCCTGAGACATAAGTTAACAAGTCCCATGTGCCTGTAAATTACACCAGCACCCTTGCCCTTGCTCACATTACTGCTTGGCGGCAGAAATAGGTAAGGTGGCTAATAAATAGGTACTTGACTGTGTGCTACTAAAATTGAAAAAAAAAAAAAAAACTAAAATGGGAATGCATTGCATATTATTATGGCATCTGCCTGCAGCAGACTTATTTCCTGAACGCTATAACTTGGACCTTTTCAAGCAAGATTAAATAGGCATTATTTAGGTGTAGTATATGTTCCATCGTCGAACTCATCGTCACTTTTCATCAGATGAGATGGAGGTTAAATGCGCACTTATATTTTTATTTAAAAAAAATCACGCAAAAATAAAGACGGTATATTGTTGTGAATGGCATTTTTCTCCGTGCAATGCAGTTTTATATCGAGCAAGATTGTCTGAACAAGTTACACTCTCTACCAAGTTCCACCAGATGAATAGAGAGACTATTAAAGATTTGAATATATTGACGGCAGTTTGTTTACCAAAAACCGTGTGACCACGAGTGAGGGCCTGACTGAAGAAACATACTTATATTTAACGCTAGACACTTTATACAATCCACGAGTGTTAAAAATATGATACAAAATCCCAAAACATTATTGTTATTTATACAAATGTGACACTAGGTAGCTGTCGAGCTATTTGCCATTTAGAGCACAAGCAGATTTGTATGCATTCAACAAATTGTATTATTAATTTTAATTCTGGTATTCAAATTGTTTTTTATTAATAATTTTAATTCTTGTGTTCAAATTGTATTATTAATTTTAATTTTAGTTTATAAGACTAATCATTTGTTTTACCCTTACTGGGTGCATGTAACATTTTTAATATAACGTGTCTACTAATGCAAATGAATAAATAAATAAATAAATACTTTAAATTTTTTTTACATATTCATAGCTCCGCACAGATTACACGCAAACTCACGAGAGAAATAAATGAGACCATATTTTTTTACTCGGCCCGGGAATCGAACCCAGGACTTCTGCGTGGTAGTCTAGCTTTAAAATGATTAAATTATCAGTTTAATGATTTTCACAATCGCAAAAATTAGATCTATTTAATCAAGTGTTTTATTGAATGTCAGGATGTTAGACCACCACAGTATTCAATTATTTTTTGTGAAATTACTCCGCTACTTAGTTTGTTATAATTATTAATACAAAGATCGAACATTCAGAAAAAAATCCTTCGATCCGGCCGGATTCGAACCGACGTTTTCTAGCATACTATGCTAGGAGACGTCGGTTAGCTATCTATGCTAGAAGACGTCGGTTAGCTATGTACGCCAGCTATCTATGGCTAGCTATGCCAATTAAGCCACGGAACGAACCAGCGGACCTCACGAATTGTTCTATGTGCTTGTTGTCGGATCTTTTTTTCTGGTTTTTAACGACTTTTTATTTTTTTTATTAGATCTATTTGATTTTGTTTTATGTTTCTTGTAAAATATAGATATAGTTTAGATATAGATATAGTTTAAATTTGTTTGAGTTTAGACACTATTTAATTTTATTTTTATAATAGATATGTATAAATATTTATAACTTTTGATATATTGTTGCCTGAATAAATAAATAGTTCAGGTTCTGAACTCTAAAGAAACAAAATTATACTTACAAAAAAAGCGGGATCGTACGTGTGGCGCACTATACGTTTTCGGAATGAATAAGAAAAAAATACTATAAACGGCCAGAATTGAATTCTATTCGTTTCTCAAAATATTCTCCGTTAACGTTAATGCATTAAAAGTGCACTTTTTCATACGAATGAACCAATTTTGAAAACATTTATGCCACTCCTCCGTGACAATCTCTGAAACATATTTTTCATACCCTTCGACCAGGTCATGAAAATCATTGACCGCGTAACTGGTTCGAAATAAGTAAAAGTCACAAGGTGCCAGGTCGAGACTGTACGCAGGATGGCTCATAAGGTCAACGTTGCTCACCTTCGAAAAATCATTTGTCTGTGTGACCGTGTGATAACTGGCATTATCGTGGTGCACGATGATAAGGCTTTACGGTTATTTTTACGGAATTAGTCAATAACTTCCGGCAAACAAATGGTCGTGTACCAATCACTATTCACGGTACAACGATTCTCCAAAGCAACAGTAGTCACGTGTCCAGTTTTATTAAAAAAAGAAGCAATCATCCGTTTAGAGGCACTTTGCACGCGCGCCGCTTTTATTGGTTTCGGCTCATCTCGAAAGACTCCTACGCTCGATTGCTGCTTTGCTTTGGGATCATAACTATAAATAGTAACCTTAAGTAACCTTAAAAGTAAACTTAAGGTCGTAGAAAATCATACTATGAAAATTTTCACGAGTTAAATCCATAGTGATGTAGAAAACCAATTTCTAAAATGACGCCACAATGTAAAAACAAGTGACAGTCAGATCTAACAATTGTATTCTACAGCCAAAGAGTTCCATTTTCAAATGTTGTAATTACTTTTTAAATATTGTTGATGTAAGTGGCCAGTTCCGGAAACTTAAAGTGCGCCCTATGTTCATAGTTCAGTGGAAATAGTAACATAAATACGTCTCAAATTAGCACGTTATTATCATAATTATTAAATTAAACCCCGTTTTAACTTTTATTGAACCGTGCATATACAATTTAGAAGCAGTAGGGGTTCTAGTGAAAGAGTTCGTTCAGGGAAGTACTGCCACCTTACCTATTTCTACCGCCAGGCAGTAATATTAACATTACTCCATTCCGGTTTTGAAGGGTGATGGTGAAATTATAGGCACATGAGACTTATCAACCTTTGTCTCAGGGTTACGAATGCAGTGGCAGCGCCCCTCAGATCCTTGTATTCTAAACTATTTAAAACTCTGAGTGACACGACAACTGTTATGGACAGGCGTGTCGCTTATCATCAGGCACACGACTTGTTCGCCCTGTCACTTGGTATCATGTAAAAAAATAATTCCATTAAAAAAGTTCATAAGATTTTATTTGAATACCCAATACTTATTATTTGAGATACTGCATTCAAATGTAAATTGTGGCCTTACGTAACTCTATAATAATAAACTAGCAAGATAAAAAACTGTGTAAACAAATATTATACAGATAACAACTATTTCAATATGAGTAGGTACTCATTAGTGACAATGCAAAAACAAATCCAGTTGTTTAAACGACACCGTCCTTGTGCAAATATCCCGTAATAGATGGTTAATAAAATGGCTGCTTCAAATACAACGCGACTAAAATATGGAATTACATACCACCGGCCTTATGAAATCTTACTTACATTCTTTTTTTTAAATTTGCACTTTAAATATATTCTACAGAATATTTTGAGCGTGTCTGATACCTACCTTAATCTTCGTTACACTGCCTGCCTGCAAAATATTTTCCCTGCCATAAATGACTGCACAAAATACTTAATGTTTTATAGTTATACATACATGAACCACACATAAACCCCACTCACTTATTACATATCTACAGACACAAACACACACCTCTATAATTCATTATACCATTATACAACCACACAACTCCTCTTAACAACTCACCCACATACATCTTTTACCTTTTTCTGTTCTTTCCAGTTACGTGGTCTACATTTTGTAGCTTATATAATAACTTATACAGTCAACATTATAACTACATATCTTACATTCTGGCTCCGTGTTGATTCTCTATTCTGAATTACTTCTTTTTTACCGGCTCACCTTAGGCAATTGGTGTACGGAGCTGCGTTTTTTTTAAGTTTCTCAGTTTGTATAGAAAACACGCGCCGAATAACAACACACTGACAACGCATCTCCGGGCGGGAGTGCGGGGCGCATGATCTGTCGCCCCGCGCATTCCGCGTGCGAGGAATGCCTTAGGATAAACTGGTCTCTCACTTGTAAGGGGTGAATTTCACTTCCCGAATTCCAATGGCACTTTTTGAGTGATTTTTGTAAAACCCTTTTTTCTTTCGCTTTTAAGGTTTTAAACGTACAAATAAGTTCAAGCAATGTCAATAATTATAAAATCACAGAAATATTTAAGTTAAATACAACAAAAAAATGAGAAAGACGGCAGAGTAATGAGAAATTATTATTGCAACCATTGACTTATGATTGCAACATACATTTTATCGTTCACAAAACCATTCACATAACATCACGTTTAACAACATTTAACATGTAACAAATATTTTAATATAACTTCTTGTATCAAAACCCTTCTCATACGTGTAAATACATCTATCTATCTACATATATGTAATTGGTAAATAAATCTAAATAAGTATTTTGTTAATGTCACATAAACTTTGTTGTACATCAATATATCATTATCACCACCATCAACATCATCATCATGATCACCATTATCATCAGCATCATTATCATTCACATCATCATCACAATCATCGTCATCATCACCACCATCATCATCGTCACAACCGTCATCACCACCACTGTCACCATCTAATTGTTATATTTCAAGTAATGTTTGGTTTAAAGTAACTATTTGACTTAAAAGTAGACAAGAATAAGAGCGACAATAATGATATTTGGATACGTTTTTAAGTGTCAAGTGTGTAAAATATGCTGGATCGTTATAAAAGTGCATGGATTTTAAAGTTTCCTTTGTCTATTTGATGTTCAATGAAGTTTATAAAACTATTACTTAATATTTATTTAGATAAATTGCTTTACATGAATGAGAACGATTTAGTCACTAGCGCTGAAATTGGTATTTAAGTCGATTTTTTGCTAAAACGGAGATGCACACGTGTTACTACATGTTACTTCACTTTGTACCCTCCAATCCGACAGGAGTCCTTTCTCACGTGTGCGAAGGGTGAAGGTGATGCGGTATGAACTTTTGTTATTAGGAGACTTTTAGTTGAATTGATACTAATTATAAGAAAAATTGAAACACATTTTGTATTCCCAAGAAAACATGTTTGTTTATAATTAATTGGAAAGTTACGGTATGTATTCGACGTGTAAGTTATTAGAGTTTATCCTCGATGGGGAAATATTGCGATTTCCAGGAGTGTTTAATTTTTTTTTCTTCTTTTCTTAAAGTTATGGCGACGTGGAACCGGCTCCCATGAATGAGAAATTGCCCATTTTTATTTATTACTGTGACGTAGTAAAGTAGTCTTTTTATGTGTAACACAAACTAAGTAAGCAAGCAATCATATTAAATAAATAATGCTTAGCATTCATGTAATAACATAAAAGTTATTGAAAGGGACACATTTTTGGAGGTTATCTGAAAACAACCCGCAGTTTAACACAGTGCACTAATTTCTACACCCCGACACAATATGACCATACCCGCAAACGTAGACTAGCCTTCTTCTTTATCATTACAAATGTACCTATGTCATCAGCTTGTTTGTAATGTACCTGCTGTGATTATATACTATACGCTATCTTTACTAACCGTGTAGTCATACGAACAGAATTGCAACTGCATCACGACTGAAAATAGTGGAGATGTCAAAATAACGAAGCTGCACTGGCGATGAACCACAGCTCCACTTTGTTAGATAACGGGACTTATCGTCGTTAATTAAGACTGCGTTTATTTTGGAATTAACTCTTATCATCCATAAATTGTAACCAATTTTGTACTGCTCCGGCTTCATTACCACTGAACCACGAAACCGTAATCAAAAACCGGGCAATAGAAAAATACTATGAAACACAAGACCATTGTTCTGAAAAGAACACGCTATTAAGGACTCGTAATGACGTCATGGCGCGGCGGCGTGATTGATGGGATATTGGAATCGAGTGTGTTAACATAGTATAATAACACAAGTACGGTAACTATACAAACGTAGTAGCGTGGCTTGTATGTGTGAAAGCCCGCCGCGCGGCTTGTAAGTACAGTCAAGAGCACGTCAAGCTTGACACTTCGTACTTTGGACCATTCTTATTGTAAGCGGCATTAAATCTTAAATATCAAGCTTGGAGTGCTTTTGGCCCTGTACATCCGCATCGTAAACATCCGTAAAAAATACCGTCGTCGTTTATTATAGAATTAAGCGTTTGTTTGTTGTTTCAAAAATGTCATCAAATAGTACACGTGTTTATTGTTGTATTTATGATGGTTTTAACAAAAGTGACTCAAATTCAGAATTGTTCACCATTCAATTTTTATTTCATTGTCCTTTTCCCGTAATTAAGATACCAATCCGCAATGATGTTTAAAAATAGCAATACATAGATACTGCGTTTAACAATGATTATTAAACATAGCAGTAAGTGAGAATACTGTGATGGAAACATTATTTTTTTAAGTTAGGTTTATAATCTGTAATTTAAACTAAAATGATAACGTGACAACCCTACGGTCCATTGCGAGTGAGGTGTAGGCATTGATGTACTGAACAGGCGGGAGTTGCCCTTCTTGTCTTATTATACTATGATACTACACTGCTCTAAGTGTAGTGTAATCTATTATACTTTTCTTGCTTGCTCCTAAATATTGCTATTTTTTTTAAGTCTAGCTTAACTCAGTATGTCTCGGTTTGCAATTCATTAACTTTACGCGTGTGAAAATGGTCAAAGTGCTTAGTATGTGGTATTTTGTATGAGTTTAGTAAGCCGCTACATCCTTAGAGAAAATTGTTAGGCGTCATGATTAAAATAAGTGGGTTGTGAATATTACGAGGTAGTTGTACGTTGGACTAATAAAATTATATATGAGTGTAATGGTTATTGATCAGTTCAATATTTCTCTTCTCTTATTGTGTCGATGGCATACACTATTGCTGCCATAGCGGTGAAAGGATTTGAGGAAATGTGTATCGTACGGGGAGGCTCCTTTCGTACACCTTTAGAACAGTATTAGTTTTTATAACTAGAACACTTAATAAGGCAAACAGATGTGATTCGTGTGAAGTATATGGAAATTCTATTACTCGTATTTCACTGCTGATGAACAAGCTGTATAGGAATTATATACCACTTCTTCTTTATCCTATCTGTGAAGGCATATGACGCGAAAGATATCTACGTCAGGATTGTAATAAGCGGAAGGCTGTGGTGTCTGCCTACTTCGATCGGAAACGGCGTGAAGAGAAAAATATGTATGCAGGGTTATTTGTAAAACACTAATTGTCTCCCAGGACTGTATCACTAATGTCATAAACAACAACTTTAGTTCCATGACTTTTTACAAAACATAATTAAGTTACTAAAAATAAACTTTTAATTTTCTGTTGTATTGTCTGACGCTTTTTAGACCTCTATTTGGTAGTAAGGTAGTAAGTAAGTCCAAGCGCCCTCGCTAACGCTTTCTTTTATTACCGCACCGAGTTATTAATATACTCGATGCTTTAGAGTAATCTACACACATCAAAAGAGTCAAGGGATCATGCACGTTTTTGCCAATTACTGAAGTCGGGTTTGTTAATGAATTTTTTTTAACACTACCTAATGGATTGAAAAAATATAACGGTGTAAAAAAAAAACCTGATTTTCAGTAAGTAGCAAAAACGAGCTTGATCCATAGACACATTTGACGTGTGTATTTAATTTTTTTTGTATGAAAGTAAAATTTGATGAATTATTAACATTACTGGAACAAAAGTGTACCTGTATATGGATAACTCAAAGGAATTTTCCATTTATCCGTCAGGATATGCTTTAAACAATTCTGAGATGCTCTACTCTAAATAATCGTTCAATTGCTTATAATGTGATTTATTTTAAAATAAAAAATGAAAAAATTGCATAATATTGATGTCAACATTGTCAACTGCATCATTGCAATAACAGCCTAAACGGTATTGTTGTGGAGTTCGAAATAAAATGTCATTTTTAAAAATAAATTGTTTACTTTTTACTTGTACCCGTTGCTTTATCTTTAGGACTAAAGATAACTTTGACTTTGGCACAAGAGAGATTGCATTTGTTGTTGTAAAACGTTGCAATAAAGGTTATAGTGCCGTAAAAAAACTTTCCTCCATAGTATGCTTGGGCAATTTTTTCTATATCTACGACGCTAGTATAGCGACCCTGAAAGAAGTAAATGTTTAGTTAAAGCTAATCCTAAATCTGTAAAAAAAGGTTTTAGGAATTATCTACATATCATCCACCCATTATACATTCCACTCCTGTGCACGAGTCTCCTCTGGGGAGAGGGTTTAGGCCTTAGTCCCTGACATTAGTTCGCGGATTGGGGACTTCACACGTTCCGGTTTTGAAGGGTGAGGGTGCTGGCGAAATTACTGGCACTTGGGACTTGTCAACTTGTGTCTCAGGGTGACGGGCGCTGTAGCAGTGCCCCTCAGATCTTTGCGATTCAAAGCTCTGCGTGGCAATGCAGTTGCTATGGACAGGCGTGTCGCTTACCACATAAACTTAAATTGACAAATAATTGATTCAAGTTGATGAGAAACCGAAAGTGTTTCTGTGGTTTATCAAAAGTTGTAGAACAAAGTTATTTGTTATGATTATTAATACAAAGATCGAACACTCAGAAAAAATTCCTTCGATCCGGTCGGATTCGAACCGACGTCTTCTTGCATACCGTGCCAGACGCTAATAAGACCAACTAAGCCACGGAACGAACCAACGGACCTCACAAATTTTTGTATGTGCTTGCGTCGTGTCTTTGTACTTGGTCTTTCAACGACTTTTTAGTCGTAGCGCCATCTATGAGAAATCTATGATAGATTTATCACCCAGTTAGTACTTTTACAGCTACCAGTCCTGGCGAGAGATGTCGCTATTCCGTTGGTTCGTTCCGTGGCTTAGTTGGTATAGCGTCTGGCACGGTATGCAAGAAGACGTCGGTTTGAATCCGACCGGATCGAAGGAATTTTTTCTGAGTGTTTTTTCTGAGTGTTCGATCTTTGTATTAATAATCATAACAAACTAGTGGAGTAATTTCACAAAAAATAATTGAATATCAATTCAATAAAAATTTAATTAATAAAGTTATTTGTATTCATGAGTACATTATGGTCTTTGAGAATAATTGCAACTTTTGTTACACCCTCTATGTGGTATGCAGAATCAACGTTTTCCTGTTTTTGGTGGCACACGAGGTGAAGCCTCCACTACCGAACAGATATCCTCAAAATATGTAGTAACACGCGACTCTAAACCAGATAGATGTTATTATGCTTGCTAGTAAGAACGGCCACACAACTCAAGGTACGGACAACGGCACATCAGACTACACATTTTTGTTCGAAAATCGCCTCCGGTGCAACGTAACAAGATACGTCAATGTGTAGCTGATGTGCTGGCGTGTGTACATTACCACTACAAATAGGTCTTCTCAAATCTATCTAGTATTGTTATGACTACTGGTGGTGTCGTATCTTAGTTTATATTGGAAATGTATAACTGCCGCTGTAGCCGTGCGTAAATAGGTATTTTTATGCGGTTGAAAAAGTGTGCAAATATAATGTAAGTACTTTCGAAATCACACAATTCTGTGTTACGTTCAGAATCATAAACATAATTGGTTTCAGGAAGAGATGTTCACACGGATGATCCATCTGGAGTCTTACAAGTTGTTTTTGGTTCGCCATCACCACAATTTTGCCCTGCGGAATTTTTAATAGCAATTAATTGCAAAGGAATATGTGTTTTAAATCAAGGCATCTAAATACTAGCGAAAACCAACGGGGAGAGCATTGAAGGGTATCTTATACCCGTCAGCGCACACTGATAAGGGACACCCTGACGATACCACGAGCTTCCACCAGCGTAACGCAGAATCCACGGGAATGTCGCGGCATCGGATTGGATTCCGTTCTACTAGCGAACACGCAGTCGAAAAGATCCCGGCGCGGCAGCGTAGTTAGCCGGACTCCGGCGCACACCGGTAGCTTCCGGCGCATATCGGTAGATTCCGGTGCATATCGGTAGATTCCGGCACATATCGGTGGATTCCGGCGCACACCGGTGGATTCCGTCGTATACCGACCCCTGGCGCTGCAATACTCCGAGGTCGGTCTCAGAGCATTGAAATGTATATTCAGTTGCAATAGCATAATCATAATCATTATAATCATAATTAATTTATTTGTAAAAACACAGATTATTTGGAAGTTGACATGTACAAAATAAGTAGAGTTTCGCTGTGTCCGGCCAAACATTAGGCATACAAAGGTATTGAAGTGTTATTAATTATACATTTATTCACATGCATTTTAACAGACTAAATACAGATATAACATGTTATTTTTTCTAATATGACATAAGCGTGCACACATGGATTTAATATTTCAGTAAGCAATTTAGAGGCAATGTTAGTTATATGAGTCAATTTCAAATATAATAATTTTAATGTAGAAATATAATTAAATGTCAAAATAATAAAACTAGTAACATAAAAAAAGATATATAAATATCAAAAATCTGACAATGTAGTTAGGGATTTGTCATTTAAAAATTCGGACACTGTATAGTAAATTTTATTAGTCAGTAAGTTGTTTAATTGTTTTTTGAATATATAAGTTTTTTCAGACCTCAATACTTTCGGTAAATTATTCTAATTTTTTGGCGCCATTACAAAGATACTTTTGTGTATAATAATCATGTTTTGTGAAATAAATTTTAATTTATTTTATTTTTTTACACCTCACATCCATTAATATTATGTATAACATTATCAATACACGTACCGCGTCTTGGGCGAGTATGTTCATTTAATGCTAATTTCAAATGAAAACCCTTATCATGTTTTTAAATTCTATTGATAATTTGGAGTGCTCTAAGGTGTTTATATTAAACGCGCCACATATAATGATCTTTTTCCTTGTTTGGTAGCATACTTCGGTCAGTATATCCCGCAGATTGTTATAAAATATATCAAAACATTTTGATTAATTTTTGGGAACTCTATATATACACATAACAATAAAATTACGATCTGTTTGATCAACTGCACAGCATTCAACAATGTTTGTAACACACAATTTGGAAGCAATGTCGATTGATTACTTTATAGTACAAGCCATGGTTAATCAGGATGCATGCACCTCCATTTCTATTGTTTCCAGTGAAGCTAGAACCAAGTCCGTAATTGGGTATATTTAGAACATCTAGGTCTTCCAATTTCATGTTGTGTTCTGTAATGCACACAACATCTATAGATTTACCGCTGTTCGTTAATTCATCTAGCGACAATATGAGCAGGTTTGACTTGTTTAATAGTCCGTCAATATTTTGGTGTAAAACATTTATACTATTGGTCACGAAATAAATTACTGTTATTTGTGTCGTCCATGTCATTAGTGTCGCTTGAAATATTAGTGTCCTTGTCATAGCTATTCCTTAACTCTGTAATAATAATGGTTCTCAATGTCTATTATTAAATTAAATAGATCATTTATTATACTTTTCATTCCTATGTTGTTCAATATTCCTAACCGTTTCACAAACGTCTTAAACTCGTAACTGATATTGCGGTTAGAATCTAAAATCCATACATATTCGTGTGTAATCACGTCCATGTACAACAAATTATTAAAAGTTCAATTCTTCTGTTGAAGAAAGTAGTGTAATTGCCATTTTTGTACGTTGATAAACAGAATAATCTACTATCACAGAGAAAACTACTTACTTTAGACATCACAGTTTACATTTCATACGTAATGATCAACGGGAAGTGATCAGACCACTGTTAACCATACTCCACGACAACACTCCGTATTGTATTACGCGCGGCCTGCATTGCGCTGACAATAGAAAAATATCGGAAGAAACCGGGTAACCGGTTGACCGAGACTTAATAACCGAAAAAATCATACTAGAAAGTACGTTCGTAAACTCCGTCATGTTGTCTTCAACGTCCACGGGCATATACACGATGAACACTACAATGCTGAGTCCTCTGAGATCAATCTGTATCGCAGCCAGCCTATTACACGCACAGTCTACGATCTATACGTTCGGGAAGATCGATTTTCTCCACAGTATGGCACCATAAGGCCGCCCGCGTAGAACACCCATTTGACTATCCACGGAAGACTTAGCAAATGCTCCAAAATACTCATCGATCTCCTGAACAAAACCAAGGTCGTGCTGGAGATACGGAGAAAAGGAAGAACGCTTGATGAACTTGCAATTAAACGTGATCATGTTAATTTTGTTTATTTGGGCACTAACCATCCTGATTTTAGTAAGAGCGGGGTTAGCAACGTTCCTTGTATCATCTGAACACAAGTCCAACAGGTCAGAATTCTCCACTTAAGAATTTATTTCTCTTATAACTCGGTACTTCTATTTTAAAAGAGTTAAACAATGTTGCACGGTTTTGTTTCAGTAGCATTACACTGTGACATTCTTCACCCATGTCTGAAATATGACCTTTTATATCGACTTCGGTAATAACCTTTGTAAATCTCGATACATAAATAGCAGATAATGTCTCCGCTACTCGAAGCCTGTGGCTATTTTCTAAGGTACCTCTTATATTGAATATCTTTTTAGGTTTCTTACGTACAACCGGTATGAAATCCTTATCACCATTGTCATTAACGTTTAACTCGTTTACGCTTTGTTTAGGCGCCTTGCTAGGTTGCGTTAACAATGTGCGGGCTATAATATCCCTGTAGCTAGGCGTAAATAAACCACCGATAGTTGCATCGCCCGAGATAACTTGTTGAGGTGATGTCGCAGGCGGCCGCGGCAGAAGTCGCTGGGTGACTCAACACACGCTGCTCCGTCTCTCCGCTCTGTTGATGTGACGTCAGTGGAGACGGCTATTGTGTTTTCGTGTTAACGCAGTTGACAATGACTTCTTATTTAAACGAAGTTGTTTTAATTCGTGCTGAACTTGCCCGATATCCTCTTTAGAAGTTGAATTCTCACACAAGCTATTTAATTCGACTTTTAACAGTGTCAAATCTTTTAAAAGTCTCGACATATCGACGTGATCAAATGTCACGGGTGGTAGACGGTTCAGATTTTTGACTACGAAAATGGGGTGTTTATCCGGGTCTGTTTCTTTAAGAAGTTTAAGAATGTCCTTGATGTTTTTCTTCTTTTTGTCGTCTTCTTTCCTGATCACACATGTTGAACCATCTGGTATTAGATTAAACACGATCATTTTTGCAGCCTCTACTTCGTTATGGGAATATTACCACACACAAATTTACACTAAGCTTAACTCGTCAATAATGTCTAACTTGTTTTGTAGAAAAGTTAGTAATTCATTAACTATCATTTCGTTACGCTCACTCATTGTAAGCATACCGGTACAATGCGTATTCACATATTAAGTTCGCAGATAGAATTTCGCGCGCGTCCGTTCACAACAGCAACGAAAGCCCCAAAAGTTATTGAAGTAAGTTATTGTTTCGATAATATTGTCATATGTTCTGTTTCGTATTATTGTGTATGGTAAATAAATGGTTTAAATTGCTTGGTTTAAATTTCGTTGATTTTCATGCCCTACTGTTCTTTCTATCACGGAAAAAAAATGACCTTCCAACAAGATGGTGATGTGTATTGCTGGCACAGCTTGGATACATATTTTGATTAAATGAATGTTATTTTTTAAGTTTTCATTAATTTCTATATAACGGCAATTTCATAATGTTACGTTCTGTTAGTGTATATAAATTATAAGATCGGCTAACTTTAAAACGTTAATATACATATTATCGTGGCATAAGCTCTTCGTTGCTATGGCGATAGCAACGAAGAGCTTATTTTGAAATTTTCAACTCGGTAATTATAGTTCCTTTTATGATTTATTACATATAAGTTACTCGATCTGTTAAAATTTTGATTTAGTTTAAGTTACAAGACCTTAGAAGGTTTCACATTTTCAGTGACATTCATGTCATAAAGGATTGTGCGTCCATCTTGAATATCAGCACTAAAATTGGCGCAGTTCAAGCGTTTCGGCCCATTGCATCTTTCAAATTTTGTTATCAAAAGATCAAAGTAACCCTGAAAAGAATATAATATACTAACAGTAAGAATTGTGTAAATATATAAATTTAGATTTTCATAGCATCTAGTGACCTTAGTAAGATTATAGATAATTTATAAGTACGTTAATCGGCAGCGGCCGGCAAATGCCAGAACCGAATTTAAGGCGTTAACATGTTGTTTCAATTTCCTTCTTAATTTTCTCGAGAATTATCGCCCGCGGTGAAAAATTAACAAAGAACAAAAAGTATTTATTTATTTTTTATCTATCCGAAACAAATACTAAAAATAATTTAAGACAAAATTGAAGTCCAGTTTGCCCCTTCTGACCCTACTTTCCCTTACAGGAACTTCCATGAGTTACATCAACTTTACTGCAAAAAATGCCGCCTGCGCTGCCCGTAGCTGTGACACAGATCTTCTGGAAGTTTCCAGAAGTTAATAGAACTTTTATTTTTGTCTACGAAAGCAGAAAATTACGCAAAGCTTAAAGATTTTGGTATGTTCTATTACACATTTGTGTGTCTATCACAATGCGATAATCGCATTAAAAGTTAATAAAAAAATAATTACCCATGCATTGACTTAGTACGTCAATGTACGTTATTGTTGAATAGGAGTATATAACTAGGCCAAAAACTACAAAAGGCCCAGGTATTTACTAAAATAGTAAATCAAATTACACACATAACAGTAAAATATTTGGATTGCCTTAAAAATCGAAAACAAGTAAGTGTATAGGTATATGGTATCATAAATAGCGAACAATTATAATTATTACATACGTAATCCATTGCGTCTTGAGAAAATACGATCATTATGACAATTGAAAAATATGTATAATATATGTACAGTTTTAACATCATGTGTGTTGTCGTGGTAAAATTCTCCACAATAAGCGCCACTATTGTTCAGTTGGAGGTGATTAGTGAAATCGAAAAACAAAATTCGTGTAGTATGCAGGAATCTTGATGAGGATCTTCAAATTATGTTCAGTTTAGTTACGGCCTAAAATGAGTATTCCGATGTGGAGTCAAAGGACCATTTAGATGGAGAGAGTTTCTCGTCTCGAAGATACGATTATCGACACAATATAAAAAACTTTCCTCGTCTAAACATTCGCGATTATCGCCCTTCCACGTGAGCGATAATCGCCTCGCCTTTCAATATTGAACGTCTCCGTGTAAACAGAACTTGAAAGCAAAAATCGTATTTCGAGTTTTTGTGCCAGCCGTTTCTACCATGAGTACAGTGCGCGAGCGTGTTTTGATTATCACTGCTTTTCCAAGACAAGAATAGGAAACGAAAAGGAAAAAAAATGGGTTAACAAATGTTATAAAATTAAAAAAAAAATGTGTAATGAACTTAATATTATCAGCAGTTCCAAATTTCAATGATTGTTGCGTCATTTTGATATATTCATAGTCAATACCGCAGTAATCACTGAACTCGAATGACGATTCTCGCACTCAAAATGGTTCGAACCGATTTGTACGATAATCGTATGAACTTGAAAAAATGTCATACGATCTATCAAATGATAGAACTGGAATGCAAGAGTAGATATAGTATAAGACAGGCTCTGACGACTAATAGTCAGAGGTAATAAAGACATTACAAAAAAA